AAAAAAAAAGAATTAAAAAAACTCTGAAAAAAACATATGTTATGCAGAAAATATACTGAACAACTTTTGCCTTGTGGTCATATCCAAAAACGTTACTGAATTTAAAATAAAAAATCACATACGTTTCATGTTTTGTTTTTGGGAAAAAAAAAAAAAACAGCTTTTGCCTCAGGAAAATTAGTTTTTGAATTTTTAAAATTCGAAGACGAAGTGAAAAAATAAAATAAAAAAGTGCGAAATATAGATCTCGAAAAGATCTACAACCCCATATTTTTTCTCTGTTTTTTTTATGAAGTTTTAGGGTCACAAAAAAATCCTGAAAGTCACGGCCGCACCCAACCGCGGCCGGAGCCGCACGGCCGTGATCACGTCCGAACCTCCGAGCTTGACCCCGCGGACGCGTCCGTGGGTGTTTCATAGCCGCCCGGTGTACTTCACACCCACCAGTACAGGCCTTAGGGGGACTCGGTCGCCCTAACAGCCAGGGTTTCAACTGTTACAACGATGATTTCTCTGCCTAACGGGACCATCCACGTCCAACTACCCGCTTATGTACCCTCCAAGTACAGACGCCTCCTTGTGGTACTACAGGACTACCGCGAAGCGGTTAGCATCCAGGACCACGACATAGGGCTGACATACCTGATAGAGCACGCTATCGATACCGGGGACCATGCCCCAATCTATTGTCGACCATACCGTTATTCATGGAAGGAATGACAATTAGCCTTGGACAGGGTACAGGAGTTCAAGCGTCTCGGATGGGTGGAACCCTCCTTGGGGCCCTGGTCGTTTCCAGTAGTCCTCGTGCCAAAACGAAACAGAGTCGTCTACGTCTGCATCGACTATCGAAAACTAAATGCTGTTACAACCAAAGATGTCTATCCGGTGCCCCAAATTGACGATCTCTTGGATGCCATTGGTTCCGCTTGGGTCTTCTCGTCGTTCTCAAAGTTCAATATGCGACACAGTTTCCACCATGTCGTTGTCCGGCCGGAAGACAGAGCAAGGCGGGGCGGGGCAGCATGAGTTTGCGCGGTGGCCTTCGCCTTGCGCGCACGCGTCCTGACAGCACTCTCCTTTTTTGTCCTTTTTTGACCATGTGTCGCTCTGTTGGTGCTCTCCGATCCGCTGTTTTCCCATCTGTTTGCTCAGAAAATGGCCAAAAACTGGCCAAAATCCCGCTATCAGGATTATACCATTTTCCTGCGCTTGCGGGATGAGGTGGGTGGAGGCGGGGACCGTTCCTGCTCGGAGACCAATGTGATGGGCCAGCCGGGACGGTGGTCCGTCAGGATCAAGACGAAGGGATTAGGATGGGGAGATGGAGATGTCCCTGTAAGGGACAGCGCAGCTCCAACGCAGACTCATCACGCACGTACTCCAAGCTGTGCAAATGAAGAATGAGCCTGAAACAGACTGCAGCTGGGGTATACCCCCAGCGGACTAACTGGACTGGACTGGACTGCATTGGTACCGACAATGGTACCGGGCAGGACTGACGGAATGAGCACACGGTCCGAGGGGTCAGGCCACAGCCGTCGGCCTGGTCCCACTGGCCGAACAGGCAAAATAGCCACATAGCCCTGGCTCTAGGCCAGGGCAGCTAGAGGCATGCTGCATACTTTCAATCATGGCTACGCCGGACCGGACCCCGGAACAAATCCGGGCCCCGGATCCCGGACCTTCCGATCGGCCCCGGAACTCCGGAACTCCAGAATGTTCCGGAGGATCCGTAATGTTCCGGATTGATATATTTTCCGGAAAAAAAAAAAAAAAAAAAAAAAAACCCGGCAAGTCGTGGTACATTCATACATTACCTCAGTGAGCAATGGGCTCTGTGCTCTCACTGCCAGCGTGCACACTGCATACAGACTCACACAAGTTAGTAGCACAGGTTGCACAACTTGAACTGTGTTTATAACTCAAAGAATCAGAAGAGAGTCAAGACACAGAATGAGGAGGAGGACTCAGAATTGAATAAATTCAATAAATACCAATTGAATGCAGAGTCATTCATGAATCATGATTCACGAATCATGAATGACCGCCCCAAAACCGGCACTCTCTCTCTCTCTCTCTCTCTCTCTCTCTCTCTCTCTCTCTCTCTCTCTCCTTCCGTTTTTTCTCAGCCAATGGCCGCTCATCATCGCCTGATGAGTAGTCTGATGAACATTCCTCTTCATCATCATGTGGCCTCTTCCTTGCCACACCCTCGTTCTTGCCCCCCTCGTCCTTGCCCCCCTCGTCCTTGCTCCCCTCTCCTCCACTCTTTTTAAGTGTTTGCGCAGGGTTTTCCTCGAGTGTCTGCGCAGTGTTGTTCTCTCCCTCCGCAGTCACGACATTTGAACCCTCCACATCCGTCGCTGGCGTTTTTCTTGGCTTGCCTCTAGCTTTTTTTTGGCGTTGAGGATCAGGCTGTGTCGACGATGCCCCTGTCTCCCTCAGTGGTGCTATCATCGCAGCACCACGAGGTAGTGTGTCACCATCCCCCTTTCTGTGAGCACGCATGCCAGTGTGCTCCTCTGTTCCCAAAGTGCGTGCCCTCCTTCGCACTTCAGTTTGAAAACGTTTGAGGAGGAAGTCGCCTGCCTTTGTCAATCCACGCCAGTCCCCGCAATGACCCTCCTCAATCTCCTCGAGGTTGCACTCTTTACGGCACGGAACAACAGCTTCATCCCCATCTTCGTCACCAATGCCATCAGCAGGTGGAACAACATCGTCACCAGCCGAGGTAAGGCTCTTCAATCGGCGCTCAGCCAATTTCACTCTTTCTTTAGCCTCCTTTTGCTCCTCCTCCATCGGTGGGTCGTCCCATTTAACAAGGTATTTTGCCCTCTCCGGAATCTGCTGCAGCGATTCAAGCAGGCGCATATTCCACTTTGTGTACACCAACTTGTGCATTGTCTCTGGGGCCAAGGCATTCCGCTCTTTGGAGTGAATTGCTGCAAAAAGGCTCCAATTCCTTTTGCAACCTGAAGTCGACGACCCTTGGCCCAACAGCCGAATGGCATGGGGCTGCAAGTTTTGCAGCTCATACACCATGCTGCAGGGTTTTGCTTACGGGCTGCACCCATGGCCCCTTGCGAGCTGAACTTGCAATTGTTTTCAACCCAACAATCGACTTCGTACTCCACCTGGTCGCACACCTCCTGCGATGACCCTTTCAACCATGTACACACCCAAGTGTAGAATCCATTTTGGATCTCTGGAGCGTTGTGCGGCTCAGACGACCGGTACTCCGGATCCAAGAATAGGGCTGCACAGTGGAGGGGGGTGGTCATAGCATTCCATCTGCGCATGACCATCACCTCGATCTCCTCCTGGTCCTCTACCGTCAGGTCCTTGTTGATTCGCAGGCGTTCCACTCTCCTGTCCATCTTGGCATAAACCTTGCTGATGGTTGGACCGTTGTCATCCACCAACTTTAACAGCAAAACAATGTCGTATACGACATTGATTGCCTTGTTGACATCTTCCCAAAACCCTGCTGCATCAAGCTAAACATCTTCCATCTCGTGGAAGGTCGATCGCTGTCCATGGGGAACCAACGTCGTTGTCCACCTCTCAACTGTTGTGACCATAGCCACCAACGCTTTCCGTTGCTTCTTCGAGCAGTCCAACATGTGAAAGTCGGTGGCGAAACGCGTTGCTGCAGGTCGCAGTAGTTGTCTCCCACCCGACTGGATGTAGTAAGCATCCTTGACTCGTTGGTTGTTCATGATGAACTTCACTAAGTCATTCGCCTTCCCCACCGTTCGAACCACCCACTCCATCTTCCCAACATCGTACAACACTAAGTCTAGGCAGTGTGCAACACATGGCACATGGAAGATTGTAGGGAATGTATCCTCCACCAATCTGTCGGCTCTCACACACACTGCAGCGTTGTCCATGATGACTCCAACAACACTTTTCTCGCCAACTTCACGAATGGACTCAGACAAGATATCAAAGTACGCTGTTGCGCCCTTGTCCTTGCCTGACATGCAGTGCGACTTTCAAAAAAGCACACCGTTCGGAAAGGAGACCATCACATTCAAGTGCGGTCTGCCTCTCTGATCAGTCCAGCCATCAAGCTGGAGCATGCATCCTGATCAAGGCTTGTCTGACATGCAGTGCGGTCTGCCGCAAAACCCCCTCCTCCACGCGAGCCCGTGACATGTCCAACCTTTTCGTCCGCTGCGCGCCGTACTTTGCAGGGATGAAGGACCGCTCTGCATCGCGAACCTTATTTAGCATGTGCAAGAAATACTTACTGCGCACCATGTTGAATGAGACTCCTTCGTAAACCAACCAATCATCTATGGAGCGTTGTGCTTCTTCATTCTTCGAGATGATTGCCCCGCCCTCTTCCAGCGTGCTCTGTCGCACCTTGGCAGGCTTGGCTGTCGTCAAAAGGTTAGTCTTGGCTCTGTTTTCCGTTGGTTGGACCGTTGGGGGCTGTTGCACTCGTCCTCGCCGTCCACGTCTTCCATGCCTTCGAGGTCTGAAAGGCAATCATGTGACGGTGCCCGAGGCACAGCCTTTCCCAACACCAGCGCAATTGCCTCCAGCCGGCCCAAGTCCCTCCTCTCCTTTTCCTCTGCCGACAGCCTACTGCCTAGCATGTTGATGTTGCACCTAGGCCCTTTTGTCATGGACGTGAAGTGCTTTGCACAGTGCTTTGCGCTCCCAGGGAACTGCAGTTCGCAATCCAGGCATTTCCATATGTAGTTTCCTTTCCCCGGCTCCCCATGCAATCCAACATTCTCGAAGTGCCGCTTCATCGCATCTGCACCTGCTTTAGGCATCCTGAATTTGGTGGCGAGTCTGGCAACAAATTGACAACACGCAGCAGAACAACAAGCAAGGGGTGTCAGATCATTTCTAAGTGCGCTGCTCTCTCTCTCTCTCTCTCTCTCTCTCTCTCTCTCTCTCTCTCTCTCTCTCTCTCTCTCTCTCTCTCTCTCTTTTGCTGTGCAGCAGAACAGGGACTTCGGGGGGGGGAGGTCGATGAATCTTCACAGAAAAAAAACAGTGGTCCACGGCCTGTCTCTTATACACATCTAGATGTGTATAAGAGACAGGGGGGGGGGGGTGTGAGGGCATGCAAATCTTTGCACGGGAAAAGAAAAAGAAAAAAAAAAGACAGCATTTCACAACCCCCCATGGGATCGAAATTTTGAATACGTTCGTGTGGGGGGGGAGGTTATGGGGTAGAGTCCCGGTAGACAATTCTCACATTTCTTAACAGGGAAAAAAAAGAAACAAAAACAGCATCTGAAAGAGTACGAAATGGTGGAAGATGACGACGAGGAGGAGGAGGAGGGGTAGGGGGACAGAGAGGAAGAAAAGCAGGGCGAAGGCCCTACTTTTCTTCCACTCTCTCCCCCTACCCCTCCTCCTCCTCCTTGTCAAGTCCGCCCCCCTCTCCTCTTCCTCCTCCACGCATCTTTATCTCTTGTTTATCCCCCCATCCTCCTCCTCCTCTTCTTCCTCTTCCTGCCACCCTTCTCCTCTTCCTCCTCCTCCTCCTCCTCCTCCTCCACCTCCTCCTCTCCCTCGTACCTCAATCCCGCGTTGGAACGATACAGAGAAGATTATCATGGCCCATGCGCAAGGATGACACGCCGTCAAGCCCGCCCTCCTGAAAAAGAAAACAAAAACTTCCACCTCTCCTGCTCCTCCTCCTCCTCCTCCTCCTCCTCCTCCTCCTCCTCCTCTTCCACCTCCTCCTCTCCCTAGTACGTCAATCCCGCATTGGAACGATACAGAGAAGATTATCATGGCCCATGCGCAGCTGTGACGCGCCAGTTGGTTGAGGGAATCACAGGGCGAGAAACACCACGGCCTTCCAGGCCTTTCCAAAAATGCAGGCCCTGGACAAGACTCGCAGCCTCATACACAGACAGTTGGGAGGCCCGACTGAAAGAGGCCCAGTAGCTGCAACAGAGGTGCAGCCTCCTGGGGCCTACCGGAAGCATCTGGGCCGAGGCCCAGGGCAGCCAGGCTGCGAAGGCAGGCGGGCTCTTTCCATATAGGAAAGAGCTCGCTGCCTGGAAGGGCATTCAAGCACTTGCTGGCTGGCGGCAGCGCTGCTGGAGCAATTGCTTGCGTGCTGGCTGCTAGGGCTGGAGCAAGAGGCACGCACGTGTGGTGCTAGCGCTGGAGCAAGAGGCAGCACACGTGCGGTCGTGTGGTGAAGCAGGGCGCTGTTGAGGGCAGTGCCACAGCCCAGCCTCCATAGCTGGCTGTGGGCTTGGACATACAGTGAGGCGCAGGGGTGGTCTTCGGGTGTACAGAGGGAAGACGTGGGTGTAAGAAGAGGGAGAGAGGGAAGAATGATAATGATGATGATGTGAGGGCACATGCCTGGTATTGGCGATAGTCTGCATCGGGCGACATTTTCAAGTACTTCATGGGCTGCTGATGTCAACAGTTGCATTGTCAATTAGTAGGCAGATTGTAGCTGTGCAGGAAGTAGGCTGGGTGCAAGGTAGGGAGAAGGTCCTGAACTCTTGTGTTGGTGGTGGCGAGAGCAAGCTCTCATTGACATTGGTTTCCAGTGCTACGATTCTCCATTGGTGTCATATTGGTGCAATGCTGCTTTCTGGACACAATGATACTTTCTGGCTTTCAATGTGATTGTGCATTCTGGTTATTGTGATCTCGCTTCTGCTCATTTTCCTTGCATATCCATCGTACGACTAACAAGGGCCTGGGGCTAGGTCCCACTTGCACAAATTAAGAGATAGAGACCGTAGATAGCCGAGATCAACGACGGAAATCTCCCACTAGCAGGTGCCTATTTTTGGAAGCAAAAGAAAATAAAAACCTTCATAAAAAATCAAAAGAAAAAAAGCAAATCGAGAAACCTCAGAAACACTTCACACACAAAAAAAGAAGAAAAATGAAGCTCGGGCGGGGGCCAAGTCCCACTAGCAGCCTTGAGCTACCTCAAGCTACCTCAAGCTACCTCAAGGCCTGAATGTGGACGCTTTTGGGGAGATGTGTCCGGGGAACCTGTAGCCAATCCCGGAAAATGTCCCCACCAAGCCTCAAAACGGATTGGATGTTGAAATGTCCAGAATAGCCACTATTTTGGACTTTCAACATCCAATCCGTACAGAGAGCCTGCTTAATAGCGTGCTTGACTTCAGCGCGAACCATAGGCGGGGGGGTAATATGCTTTTTGGTCTGGTAGCCCCCGAAGAATGGGTTGTGTGTACGGGTGTGTCCGAACAAAATAGGTGAATGAGGCAACCTGTCAAAGAAACTACCATGAGGTAAGGCCTTCGTTTTTTTTTTTTTTTTTTTTTTGTTTTGTTTTTGTTTTTTTTTTATAACTAAAAACCACTGGTAGCTTTGTCGGTTCGAAAATACTCGGCCTCCGACCTTTCAGGAGGTCGAAAAGAAACTTCGGCCTCCGATCAGATTTATCAACGGCAGCCGTTGTCCGTCTTGGCATCCTGAAAGTTCAGGAGCTGGCAAGAACTTGTCTAAAATAGGCTCGGAGTGCCCAAGGCTCAGATTATGAAATCGAATACAATGCAAACACAGTGTCAGGGCATACTCACAGGAGGACCAGAAAACCCCAAATCCCAAAATTAGAGTCATTTTTCGGGTCACACTGGGGAGGCTCGCTACCCAAATGCCTCAAACCGTGACCCTTGCTGGGCCGCTGGCGTACCCTTTTTGAGACCTCCTCCGGAGGTGGTCTCAAATTACCTTTCGTTTTCTTTTTTCCGTTTTCTCGAATTGAAGAGAACTGTAGACGAAGAAGCCAGCCCGCCAAACAACTGAAAGTGTGACCAGGTACATTTACTTTGCAGATAAGGCCCAAGCCTTATTTATTTTTTTTCAAACGATCCATCTTTTCGTTTGGCCCTCCCCCGTGTGACCGGGCGCACTTGCCGTGAATGCAAAGTGTCAGGGTCGCAACTTCGTCCTTTCTGGACGAGGTCTGCCGGGGACCAAATGACTCAAAAAAGGCAAAACGAATGCCTCAAATTTTTGAGACTTTTGGTCCCGGTGTGAGTATGCCCTCAGTGTGTCACGCCTTCCTATTAGGCCTGGAATTAGGCCTGGAAGAGCCTCGGGCACCGCTTGCTTCCGCGGAGACAGTTTCCACTTACGACAAGACTGCAGCATGAGCAAGGGGCAGTGATTGCGGAGACAGTTTCCACTTAGGACAAGACTGCAGCATGAGCAAGGGGCATTGATTGCTTGACCAGCCGGGAAGGATTAACCCCGCTCCATGCAAAATTTGAATTCTGCCCAGCTAGAGACAACCACTTGTGATCCAACTCTACAGGGAAAAGAGGAAAAATCAAATCAAAGTCGAATGTGCTAAAATCTCTGCCATCAAATCCAGCTGATTCCAATCAAATCCAATCAACGGAATGAGGTGAGGGGGGAAGACTGAAAATCAGCAAGAACTGCCTGCCTATCCCTTCCAGTTCGATAGTGCGCAGTCCACAACGCACCCTTTTTTTTTTTTTTTTTTTTTTTTTTTAAACAAACAACTCCCCCCCCCGGTGCTAATGGTACTGATAAGAGCAGACACCACTAGCACTTGGGGAGAGGCTCCATCTATTGGTGGGGAGCGTCACCTGCCGGAAAACGGGTCCAGCGTCCCTTTAACATACAAGTTGGAATCACTTTGGCTGTATCTGGCCGGAAATATAGCTTGTATGCATTCGTTTTTGGGGTGCGTTATGTTCGGGGGAACACGGTAGTCAACAAGAAAGTAGTAGGATACACGGGAGATTAAACTATTGAATCAAAGCCCCTTCTTTCCCCTCCCTGGAGGTTGAGTATCCAAGCCTATCCCTGGAGATTGAGTATCCAATCCGTAGAATGAGACCCTATAGGTCCAACCTATTCTAAGGAGAACCAATTGAAGCACAATGTCATCAAAACCCCGGCATCATATAATCACGGCAACCCCATCAACCTCGCCCCTGTAGTCAGAAAGACGCCGTCAGAAGCAGGGTATAAATGGGGGGGAGAGAGCAAAATCCCTTCCCCATGTACCCCACCCCTTTTGGCCCCCGCCGCTGAGCACCTAATAGGAGATCACGCTTCTGCAATACCCCTGACGTCATCAAAATAAGCCCACAGGACCAAGAGAGCTATAAAACACCCGCGGACGCGTCCGCCGGGTCAAGCTCGGAGGGCGGACGTGATCACGGCCGCGGTTGGGTGCGGCCGCGACTTTCAGGAACTTAAATGACCCTAAAAATTTATCAAAAAAAAAAACAAAAACTATGGGGTTGTAGATCTTTTCGAGATCTAAATTGTGCAATTGTTTATTTTATTTTTTGACTTCGTCTTCGAATTTTAAAAATTCAAAAACTAATTTTCCTGAGGCAAAAGCTGTTTGTTTGTTTTTTTTTCAAAAAAAAACATGAAACGTATGTGATTTTTTATTTTAAATTCAGTAACGTTTTTGGATATGACCCCAAGGCAAAAGTTGTTCGGTATATGTTTCTGCATAACATTTTTTTTTTTTCAGAATTGTTTGAATTCTTTTTTTTTTTTTCTTCTTTTTTCATGGCCGTGGGGTCGCGGCCTAGGCCGCGGCCGCGGACTTGTCTGCGGATGGCCGCCGCCGAGGGGGATTCGTAGCAAGAGAGTGGAAGAGCAATGGCCAGCACCAAGATCGATTGTAGTCAAAGCGACCGTGTTCACGTTGTAGGAGATAGTGCCAACATTGTTAATCCCATTGTTAATCAATGATGAATTCGGTCTTAATCCCGTTGTTAATGCGTATGACGTTGGCACAGGATCGACTAGAAAGGATATTACCACGGTGAACAAAAAAAAAAAAAAAAAAAAAAAAAAAAAAAGGATATTGCCATGGTGCCCAGCAAATCTATAGTAGGGGACTCGGGGTCGACTAAAAAAACCGTATTTGCCCCTCGTACGAGTGTGCGTAGTTCTACCGTAATACTCACACTCGTACCTCGTACCTCGTGCTCATAATTTTGCCCCCCTACCGTCTTCACCCGAATAGAACGCCGGGTCATTATAGCTGTATTTGATGCGACTTTCAGTCCAGATACAGCCAAAATCACCCGGCGCTCTATTCAGGTGAAGACGGTAGTTGCAGGCTGGCAACGAAGGGTTTGACGGGATGAGGGGGCCGCCTTTGTGTTCATTTGCCGGCTGCGGATGATCGAGTGCCACTGGCCGACGATCGTGGGCGGCCTTTGCGTGCATTCAGTTGAATGCCATCGCCGTAAGGATCAGTTGTGGATTCACTGGAACGTCCTTTTTGTACACTGGGTGATGATGAGCATTGGTGATGAGCGTCGGTGCAAGTGTGGGTAGAATAGGAACGGGAGTCTGGCTCTGTTTATGAGCCAGATGCATGATCCGGTAGGGCCCTTGGAGGGACGCATGGGCCTGTAGTACCCCACATGGAAAAGATTGGGGGCCCGTAGCACCAAATGGCCTAACTTTGGGCGCCCAGAACCGAAAAGCTCGTTTTGGCGTGGGCGCTTTCCACCACTTAGGCCATCGCCACACCTCGCCACACCACTCTCGAAATGTGCAAAATCAGAACGAACTTCCTGCTAGAACATGGCCAGATGCAATCGCCACAGTTTTGTCTTTTGCACATTTCGAGTGTGGTGCCCTTATCCTGTGATTTTCGTGATTTCTGGCATAACAGTGAAAGATTCCCCGTGAGCTTTTGGTATAACAGTGAAAGATTCATGATCGGGTAAGGCCCTTGGAGGGACGGGTGGGCCTGTAGCACCCCACATGGAAAAGATTGGGGGCCGGTAGTACCAAACGGCCGAACTTTGGGCGGCCAAAACCAAAAAGGCGGAAGGATTGAATCCCGTTGGAACCTGGTTTAAATCAGAAGGGGGAGGGGAAGAGGAGGAAGCCTACTTGTGTCTGAAGCAGTGGATTCCACAGGGCAATGGAAAATCTGAAGTGACAGAGTATAGGAAAATCATTGATCATAGTGATATCCTAGCTTTGTATCAAGGGTTAATTGCAAAAATATTGCTTTTTCCAAGTTTGGCAGTAAAAATGTTGTCCGTTCGAAGTTTCCTTTGCAAAAATAGAGGTCTCTTTGCAACTTTACCGGGAACCCATAGCAACCACCTCTGTTTTTGCAAAGGAAACTTCGAACGGACAACATTTTTGCTGCCAAACTTGGAAAAAGCAATATTTTTGCAATTAACCCTTGTATCAATCCTCTATTAGGTGGGGCACAACGGGTTTGAAAGACATCAGGGTGCGGGCAGTGAAGCAGCAGGGCAGGGGGGAACCGTCAGTCTACAAACTCATAGCGGGCGGTAAGGCAAAAAGTGAACTGAAGATAGACCCGCTTGCATGGGGATGGAAATTTGATTCCAGAGTAGTCTCGGACGTGTCAAAGCTATCAGCACGACTGATCCTCTCAAAAGAGTCACCGAGAGGGAAGTTGGACGCAAAGCTGATTGATAAATGGGAAAAGGCACAGCCGGGCCTGATCCCACCCTCAGAGCTAGAACTGAGTAGGCCGTGGCAGCAGTTGGCTGCAATTCCATCTCAGAAGCTAGCGTCCTTACTGTGGCTACAGTCCCATCTCTCAGTTGCTACAGCTAGGTGGTTGGGGAGGAGGGGAATGGAGGTAAGACAGGAGTGTGATCGCTGCAAGTGGCCTGTGGAGAGGATGACTCATCAGTGGTGGGCTTGCCCTCGTTCCAAGAAATGGTGGGAATGGTGGTTTAGACACTGGAACAAGGTGTCTGGGGAAGTTATTGGTCAGAATGAACGTTGGGTACTGCAGGGTACACTACCGGAGAACTACTCGGCTCTGAAAGGGTGGGGGTATATAGCGCAAGTTACCAGAGCAGCGCTCATGTGGTTATCTGGTTGGATAGGAATGCAAGCAGGTTTCAGGGGCAGGGGATGGAAGAAGTTCAAGCAGAGAAATCATTGAAGGAGACTCTAAAGTTGGAAATCAGAGCAGACTGGAGAAGAAAAGTCCTGCCCAAACAAGCTACTTCGGGGAGGAGGTGGTTCATGGAAACCTGGGCACTGCCGGGAGGATTAGCTTCTTTAGAAGGAAATAAACTAGGGATATCGCCATGGTTGAACTGATCCCTTTTTCTTTTTTTTTTTTTCTTTTTTTTCTTTTTTTTTTTGAACCAGGTGCACTCTGTTCCAGTCGACGGCCGTGGTAGACCGCAACGGGGGGAAGGGAGGAGAGTGCCAAGGAACAGAGTTCCTCCCGGTCGAACTGGGCCGGGTTCAGGCCGGGGGTAGGCCTGTGGATTAAAGGGAGTAGGAATAGGGGATGGTAGGGATAGCTAGTAAGGTTGCTTAGGTGGTAGTCGTAGGTATTATATAGCTGTAATAGTTTTAGTAGAGGGTAGCAGAAGGGAGTTGAAGTTAGTCAGAGGACTCAGGTGGTACACTACAAGCTAAACTGGCTGAGGCTGCCAGGATAACACAGGGTGGAATTGTGAGGATCCCCGGCCTCGAATGAAGTTCTTTTGCAATAAAATGCGGCCATTAACAAAAAAAAAAAAAAAAAAGCCCGAAAAGGCGCTTTCCACCAAGTATCCCGTGATTTTTGGTATAACAGTGAAAGAGGGGCAAGCGTGTGGAGGTGAGGGTAAGACGACGAATTGACATTGATATGCACGAAACGAGGGACGTGAAGTGGGACGTGAAGTGAAAGTGCTGAATAAATTGGTGAACCGTGAGCGGTGTGTCTACAGAGTAACGGTGACCAATGGGATTCGTCACATAGGGTTGATTGACGGAGGGAGAGAGGCAGATGAGACGAGAAAGCGAGGGTGAGTAGTGCGGAGGACGAGGTGCACTTTACCTGTCAACTTGGACTCGCACCTGGAGTAGACATCGCCATTCTCTCCACAGCGAAATAAGTCTACACCGTGTGTCCTTGCCAAGTTTGGCACGATCAGAGTGTCCGAACTTCACGTGAGAGAGAGAGAGAGAGAGAGAGAGAGAGAGAGAGAGAGAGAGAGAGAGAGAGAGAGAGAGAGAGAGTCCTTGCCCAGTTGGCACGATCAGGGTGTCCGAATTTCACGTGGTCTATATATATAGAGAGAGAGAGAGAGAGAGAGAGAGAGAGAGAGAGAGAGAGGCGGTTTTGGGCGGGTAACGTGAGCGTCAGTGAGGATGATCTGGGGTCCGGAAAAGGGGGGGAACACAACTTTCGTAGACGGGGAGGTATCCAAGGTCCACGGATCATCCCTTTAGACCTCGAGGTCTTCTTGGCGATACCGCGACTGATCGGATCAGTGCGACTCTTTGGCATCTGTACCTCTCAACACATCTGGCATCTCTCTCCCTCTCTGTTCTCGTTTGCTCCTCGGCGGCACTTTTCCCTCAGTAACCATTCTTGTTCTCGTTTGCTCAGCGCTTGGAAGCACCACCCATGTTTTGATCTCCATATTGCTGTTCTGACTGTCTCTTCACAAATCTTGGCCCGAGCTTTGTGCTTGAACCGGACTTGATTCATCTGGCGCAGGCCTCGTGTCATCCCTCTGCGTCGAGGTCTGCACCGGAATCTGGATCTCGTTAAGGGGGAACGGGACTCTCTCGCGAGGCATCGGTGGTGGAAACCCTCTCGAGAGTACAACGGCCGACAGACAACGACAAGGTTGAAGAAATTTGGCAGCCTCGGGTCGTTCTGCTTTTCTGTCCCTTTACCTCGTCTGCGTTCTTCATCTCCCTGAGACTCCCTCCCTTCGCTCTCACTAACGTCCTCCCTTTGCCCTCACTAACGTCCTCCCTTTGCCAGGAGCGTGGGAATAGGAAACTGAGGAATTAATTCTGTTGGAGGTGGCAATCCTTCACCGTGCACGTTCTCATTTGCTGGTGGCAGAGCTGCGATGCAAGGAATGGTTGTCCGGGGTATCCACACAGGTTTGAATCGTCGCCAACGTGGCATGAGTTCAGAGAGCGCGCACTCGCGAAAACAAACGGAGATCAACAAAAGCAGGTCGGCGCCCAATCTCTGAGCGAAGGAGAGGAGGAGACGAGAAGAGGAGAAGAGGAGGAGGACGAGGGGACAGTTCCGCTTGCCGGTAAGAAAGATCGAGAGAGCGTCGAGATGGAGGGCGGAGATGGAGAAGAGTCGGGGATGATGCGATCGGCGGCGGCAGGAGGGAGGCACCCTGGGGCTGTTTCCCAGATTCATGAGGAGGCAAACGGTTGCCCCATCGCTAAAAATAGCAGTGCAGGGATGAACGAAGAGGAAGAGGCGGCAGGCGGAGTGCGAGGGGGCCGAGATGAAGAGGAGGAGACCGTCCAAGGCAAAGAGTACAGAGAGGAAGACGGAACGGAGAGGGTAGGGACACATGGTGGTGGCAGGCCAGCGGAGAATGCTTCTTGCTGGTCAGAGCTTGTTCGGCCCGAAGTCTCGTTCACTTCTTCCGCTTCCATATCCATGCCGCTACCTCATCTCCCGCCCTCGCCTTTCCCTCCTTCTCCCTCCCTACGCGGACTCCAACCCTCGGCTGTTTCCCATGGCGTAAACTGCTTTGCTGTCCCGGGCAATCGTCTTGGCTACCGTGCGTCGAAACCCAGCCCCGAAACTCTCTGTCGTTTTCGTCTCTGAGTATGGATTCAATTTCGGCACGTTCGCCGAGGATCCGAGAAGGTCGGCCTAAGGAGTTGGAGTGTATGGCAGAAGATCCCATGCCTTTCATGTCTAGGGAAAAGAGGGCAAAGGGCCCTCGCATGTCCAGGGAAAAGATCCTAAAGGGGGCAAAGGGCCCTCGCTGTGGAGTGAAACGGGTGGTGGAATGTTGTCACTGTAAAAGGAGATTCATAATGGACGCCTTGGTGCAGGACTCCACGGTGTGCCCTCGTTGCAATTCGGAGAACAGTGAAACTTCACGCTTCATGTTGCTGCTGAAGCAAATTGCAGCGAGGAGTACATGCCTGGGGGACGAAGCGCAGCGGGCGAACAGGGAGAGCGGAAGTGTCAGTGGAGAGGTGGAAAAAGACCAAGATGCAGTCACGAGAGCAGAGGATGAGGAGAAGGCGAGTAGCGGTTGCGAGCGAAAAGGGAACGAGAGGAAGAAATGGGCACGGGTTAAGTGGTGGAAGCGGAGAAAGGCCAGAGGCCCTGGCGGCAAACTATAGGGCTCTTTCTCAGACAAGAGAAGAGGCAACGTGGGGTACAAGGCTGGGGGACGAAGCGCAGCGGGCGAACAGGGATAACAGGGAGTACAAGGTTGGTAAGAATATCGGTGGAGAGAGGAACGAAGCGGAAGACGGGCAGCAGACGAACCGAGAAGGGGGAGGACATGAGGGGAAGAAACAGAGCGCCGACGACCAACGGTGAGCAGAATTGGGAGGAAAAGGGAACCGCTACTCGCCTTCTCCTCGTCCTCTCCCCCCCCCTTTCTCATTCGCTCAGGAATTTGCCCTCCATGTAGTTGTTGGTCTCGCTTTGCTCTCTTGACTGCATCTCGATCTTTTTCCACCTCTCCACTGACACTTCCGCTCTCCCTGTTCGCCCGCTGCCTCAGCCTTGTACTCCTCGCTGCAATTTGCTTCAGCAGCAACTTCAATCTTGAAGTTTCACTGTTCTCCGAATTGCAACAAGGGCACACCGTGGAGTCCTGCACCAAGGCGTCCATTATGAACCTCCTTTTACAGTGACAACATTCCACCACCCGTTTCACTCCACAGCGAGGGCCCTTTGCCCCCTTTAGGATCTTTTCCCTGGACATGTGAGGGCCCTTTGCCTCCGTTACCGTACACATGAAAGCCATGCGATCTTCTCCCATACACTCCAACAGCTTAGGCCGACCTTCTCGGATCCTCGGCGAACGTGCCGAAATTGAATCCGTACTCAGAGACGAAAACGACAGAGAGTTTCGGGGCTGGGTTTCGACGCACGGTAGCCAAGACGATTGCCCGGGACAGCAAAGCAGTTTACGCCATGGGAAACAGCCGGGGGTTGGAGTCCGCGTAGGGAGGGGAAAAGGAGGACAAGGCGAGGGCGGGAGATGAGGTAGCGGCATGGATATGGAAGCGGAAGAAGTGAACGAGACTTCGGGCCGAACAAGCTGTGACCGGCAAGAAGCTTCCTCCGCTGGCTTGCCACCACCATGTGTCCCTACCCTCTCCATTCCGTCTTCCTCTCTATACTCTGTGCCTTGGACGGTGTCCTCCTCTTTATCTCGGCCCCATCGCACTCCGCCTGCCGCCTCTTCCTCTTCCTTCATCCCTGCACTGCTATTTTTAGCGATGGGGCAACCGTTTGCCTCCTCATGAATCTGGGAAACAGCCCCAGGGTGCCTCCCTCCTGCCACTGCTGATCGCATCATCCCCGACTCTTCTCCATCTCCGCCCTCCATCTCGACGCTCTCTCGATCTTTCTTGCCGGCGAGCGCCGAGCGGAACTGTCCCCTCGTCCTCCTCTTCTCCTCTTCTACTCTTCTCCTCTCCTCCTCTCCTTCGCTCAGAGATTGGGCGTCGACGTGTTTTTGTTGATCTCCGTTTGCTCTAGTGAGTGTGCGCGCTCTCTGGTCTCATGCCACGTGTGCGACGTTTCCAACTTGTGTGGATACCCCGGACAAGCATTCCTTGCATCGCAGTTCGGCCACCAGCAAATGAGAACGTGCACGGTGAAGGATTGCCGCCTCCAACAGAATTAATTCCTCTCACGGAGGACGTTAGTGAGAGCGAAGGGCCAACAGAATTAATTCCTCAGTTTCCTATTCTCACGCTCCTGGCGAAGGGAGGTCCTTCGGGACATCCGTTAAAATTGGAACGATACAGAGAAGATTAGCATGGCCCCTGCGCAAGGATGACACGAAAAAAAAAAAAACACAAAAAAACGAAGATTTTCACCGTGCCCAATGGGGAAATGCGGTTACTTGTGGAGTGGTCAGACGAGCGTGCTCAATTTTTGTTCGGTAGTGGGTGTGCTCAGGTTTGTTTTTAGCCTGCCGAACTCGTTTGTCGCTGTGAGGGACGGTCCCGCCGGTCCCGTTTTTTTATTTTTATTTTTTCAAGTGTGCTCCGCAGGACATCCGCTCGCTTCCGCGTATCTTCAGCCCGCTCGCCCGCCGATGTCCGGGTCACCGAAGATGTCGCCGAGCGTTCGATTCCGAGAGCCACCTGCCTTCTCTTCGTATCCCAAGACACCGCTGCTGCAAGCAGTAAAGCCCTTCTCTTCGCCTTGAAACCCTGTGAACGTCGCAACCGTATTTGGCCCAGGGTATAGGCCACATACAGACACAAACGCACTGTATGGTGGACACAGGGAGCAGTGCGTGGTAGTCGACACGCATACCGTCGGCGCGCAGCGGCGCAGGTGTCCGTCCATGTCGAGGTGTGTCTGTCCATGTCGAGGTGTTAGCCAACATGGCTGCCACGTGTAATGGCAAGTGGGAGCACGTTTCTATCCTCTCCTGAACTCGGCCATCCTGCACAGAACGGCTGGACGCTGCCGTCTGGGCACCAGATCGCGACTACTATCTTCTTCGTCCCGCTGTATCTGGACGAGTTCGAGGAGAACGTACATATTCTTTTTATATTATCTTTAATTCCGCCTTTTTCCCTTTTTTTTTTTTTTCCGAATGACGTGGAAGACAACCACGGCGAACGGTTGGAAAGGCAGGCAGGACAGAATGTGCACGTGGACTCCACAACGGTTACACGGCCACTGCAAACGGCCATGGCTGTCATCGGCGACGGGAGATTTATAGTGATGGTCACTCGTTTTTCTTGTTCTGGTTGACCTTCGTTTTTTTTTTGTTTTTTTCTTGTTATTTATCGGACATTTTGTTTCCCGCCTTTTATCTGAACAAGCACGACAATCCCTGCATGGCTCTACATGCATGGAAAAATGCATAGGCTCGCCATGGCGTCGTCGAATTCGTCTTGGGGGGGGTGCGGGGGGGGCGTAATGCATGGTGCCACAACATACCTGATGTCGAGGTGGATGGCACACGGCTAAGCGGATCCGAAATAGAGTGGGAGGGTACATGGCAGGTCATATCAGAAATCGAGCGGGAGTGCATCTGGCAGGCCAGATCCGAAATCGAGCGGGATGGTATCTGCCCTAAGATATCTGAATGCCCGTGGGATGCACTCCCGCACGGAAGATCAGCTGTCTTGCAGGGAGGCAAATCGCACGGGAATGCTTCGTCGAGGGGGACTGTGGCCGGGGGTGCACGGCGTGATAACCTAGTTGTGGATATGGCTTCTTCTTTTTTTTTTTTTTTTTCTTCTTTCTTTTCACTTTTTGGTCATGAGAGGTATCGTGACGGGTGTGGGGAGCTTGCCGCCTGTCACAAACGGGTACATAAAGCGGTTATAGTATGGCGACGGTGGAAGTAGCTCGGGGATGCCACACTGCAGAGGGCAGTGTTGGACGACGTGCCGCCGAGAAGGCTTCATCGCTGTCTGCTTGCTGCGAGGAAGACAATTTTTAGCGGAAGGCTTCAGTGCAGGGTTGAGGCTCTCTCTCTGCGGTACACGGGGAGGCTGCAGTGCGGAATCTTTACACCGGTGTCGGCTATGGGGGAAATCTTACGAGGAGCTCCTCCAATCCGACGGCGGGCCTGACGGTGCTGGACAGCTGTCGTCCGGCATGCATGGTGTGCATGGTATGCAGCCATCGTGGGGATATTCTGATGGCACGACAAGCGGGGACGACGATCTGTTCACGCCGCCAGCCTCTGAGCTGCCCACGCAGCAGCTTTCAACACCATCAGTGTGCAACATCACCAGCGCTTGTAACACTATGATGGGAGGTCATACTCCTTTGACTCCTCGCTCTCTGTTGGGGGAGGGGACGCATGTGGGGGTGGATGCAGTGTTCACCTCTGTGGCACAGTACATGACGCCGAACATGCCTGCTGGTTTTCAGAACGCCCAGTCTCGTGGGCCGCTGCCGTCACCAGGTGGATCAGGAGATGATGATGAAGCTTCTGAGCCTTCTAATGGAGGAGGGAAGAAAGGGAGGGGTAGTGGCTGGGATCGCAGCCTCCTCATTGCTCTTATAGAGGCAAAGAGGCTGGAGGCGATTGACCCAGAAGCACACAAATTGGCTCTTATAGAGGCGAAGAGGCTGGAGGCGATTGACCCAGAAGCACGCAAATTGGACGGTGGGCCGTTGAAGTGGGAGGTGGTAGCGCGAGCAGTGATGAGGATCAGCGGAAGAGCAACTGACAAGACTGCTGCTTCGTGCAAGAAGAAGTGGAATGAGCTGACGTCGAAGTACAGGCAGATCTTGGATTCGAACCTTCGGTCTGGGAAGCCGAAGTACTGGGAGATGACGCCTGCAGAAAGGAAAAATGCGAAGCACGCGGAAGGAAGAACGAAGGACATTCTGCTATGAAACACCTGCGGACCGGGTCCGATCTCGGATGGCGGACGCAGATGGGGCTGCGTCCGCGGCCAACCTGCTCCGCGCCGCGGACCTGATTTTACCAGAATTTTCCTGAATTAAATAATAGGTTAATATATATGTATATATGGGGCTGTAGGGAATTTTAAGCCCTACAACCCCTTTTTTTTTTTTTTGGAATCCGACTTTGTTTAGGATTTTTTAAAAATCAAAAACTAAATTCGATTTAAAGAAAATTAAAAATACATATATAAAGAAAAGCTGGATTTTTTTTTTAATCATTTTTTATCACGAGATATATGGTCCCTGAGCTCACCTGTATTTTTTTAGAAACGAATTTCTGTTTTTTGCAGGGGTATGAGGTGTTTTAAAAAAATGCAGATGATACCTTTCTCGGCCTTTTGGCTAAGATCAAGTGTAGTATCTGTTCTGATCAGTTTAATATCTGATCCGTTGTCCATCAGAAAAAAAAAAAA